CCTTTAATTGCATTAACTAAGTATTTTTGTGAAAATTGTTTCAAAGTGAATCCTACACCAAATTGTTTCATTTGTTTTTCTACTGTGACTTAGAGGTAATATAAAATAAGAAGCTTACCACAGCATGTCTTTGGTGTCTTTAGACATGACCCAGGCCAGCTCAAACATCACCAGTGCTGCCTGAAAATAGAATAAATAGATTGCAAATTTTGAGGTCTATTTTTTTTATTTTTATAACTCAAATATTTATAAATATTCTTTTGGCAATACAAAATTATACAATAAATGTATTTTAAAGCATGTCAGTTTTAAAATAAGGTATCTGCATAGTTTATACAATGAAATAAGGCTGCACAAAATTAATTTATTTCCCTTAATTAAACAGTCTGAGGCACACATCCAACTACAAAACAAGATATATGGAAGGTTAAAGTACTCAAAAAATGCTTTACTACCAGATTCCCATTTAAAAAGATCAACTATGCACTATTATAGCTACTTACAACATATTATAGTGTAAACATCAAAAGCAAACACTGTCATAACTCATCAACAGTTGATCATAAGCAATTGCTTGGCATAAATGCATGGTATTCATTGATTGTGAACTGCTCTGAAACCAAGAGCCTGTAGAACGCTCACAATTAATTAAATCATACCCTTTTAAAGTTAGATATCACGATTAGGTCATATCACGATCCCTGTTTTTCCATCCACAAATTTAAGACCTCTTAAAATGATAATTAAGATTTTTGCTTGTCATTTTTTATGACCTTGAATTTGATCAAATTGAATTTAAGTTAAATTTTGAACCGTTTCCAAACACTGATGCAATATTCCAGAAATAAGTCCCAAATAGCATTATTTGCTTAAAGTTTTAACAAAAACATATGCATGTAAATAAGACTGTTAATCACTATGTATTGTTATATAAGTGCATATTTCAGAGCAAAATACACAAGTACAAAAATGATATTTTATACAGTCAAAAGCCTAAAAATATTCATATATTGATCATGTTTTAGCTATATTGCCCAGTCCTTGTAACCAGTCAAAGCATCTGTCACAGATACATTAATGCATGAACATCAGAACATATGAAAGCACGATCACAGTTACTCACCGATGTTCCATGAAACTCATACTGCTCGTAGTCAAACAGAATCTCTCTCCTGCAAACACAACCAAACTTCAGAATGTAGTTAATACACAAAAATGTGTCAGCACTGGCAAGTGTAATTTGGAGGGATCGTTATGTTCATAATTAACGACCTTCGTGCTTCCCATTCCCGTCTGGCCCGTTGTCGTTCTATTCTCCTTTCCAACGCATCCTGAAGCAGTTAACACATTCATCAGAGGATCTGAATATAAAGAATCCACATACTC